TTCTCCATCCCAAATAGTCGTTAAGGCGTTATTAAGGTAAATAACAGACTCATTTTCACATTTATGATATTAATAAGGATTTATTTATTTATATACTCTTTATTGCTCCACTTAAAGAATAATACAAAGATAAATATATATTACACTTATTAAGTACAAAATTAATTATTAAATATTTTTACAATCTATAGAGTTTACTGTATTGTTAATCCAATATATATCACAATTAATTCAGTTGTTTGTGGAACAAAAACATTAGTAACTTCGAATGGCAGGCTTGCTTATAGTTCATCTAACTAAGAGTGAATTTGTTAATTATGAATAGCACGCCATAGACGTCACAGAATATACTGTGACGTTCATGCATTACCTAAAATGTTACGTCTCTATATGTAGTCAAGTAATCGGACAGCCATATAATCCTTTAAAAGCTCACAGATCTGCAAACACAATTGACTGGCTACAGAGTTTATAGATGAGAGAGATTTACTCATACAGAAGACTTTCTACAAAATCTCTGGCCTTTGCTTGATTTATAATTAAACAATGCTAATTTCGCGCCGGTTTGTTTGCTTTTAAAATACTTATTTTGCAGCGACTAAAGCGCTGAGTGTTTACATTGGCAAGCTACACTCATTTCGTTTTTAACCTCGGGCAAAGAAAGACGTAATTGTTTTGGTTGCGATATTCTCGTTTAGTTTGAATGACTATACTAATTTATAAAAATTGTCTATAAAAATAGAAATGTGTAGCATCTTTTTAAGAGTGTCCTACAAGGTCACATAAGTCGAAAAACAATAATAAAACTTTAAACTTCTCATACTATTTTGAAACTTGGACTCGGCGTACTGTCAAGAGTAAGTCGGTAACATGCAAACGGAATTACGACAAGGAAAAAAAAGATCTTCTAGAGTAGCAGTAGAGCGGTGCTGCTTTTCCTCTTTTTCATAAAAATTAAAACCTCTTATAAACTTATATTAATTATTACCTTGTTTTTTTCCTTTTCATTTCATTTCAATTGGAAATTAACACTAAAAAAGGAGACAAACAGATCAATAGATAAAATAGTTTATGAGGGAAATGACGTTTTTTTTTTTATTAATAAAGCGTTTATATTGTATGGGCATACCTTTAACATAGAATAAAAATCAATGTTTTCATCTGTGATTTCTAACGATTGCCTTAACTGGATTATACATATAGAGCTTATGCTCTAAGATGTTTATTTATGTACAGAAGTGTACTTGTAAACAAAAAGAGATCGGTAGGTATAAGTGGAAATGAATTTCCATTCATCTCTATCACCACCTATCCCCACAGGTGGAATAAAATTCCACTCTTACTCTCCAGTGGGAAAATGTTAGTAGGGACAAGTGGAACTGGCCGATAACATTTTCAATTAAATTTTTAAACAACTTTTTTAATATTTACATATTGTGCAATAACATTGATCGTATGCGGAGCGCCTTATAAGATTAACATTTCAAGATAATTCTTAAACGTAATTTTTTTGCGCAATATGTATTTTTTTATGCAACTTAGAATAGCAAAAAAGCTGACGGCCCATCTGATGGAAAGTGGTACCCGTCGCCTATAGACATATGCAGTACCATGGACATAACAGAGTATACTGTTTCGCCCATGATACCCTCCATGCTTTGCTTTTCCTAAGTACTCAGGTGTTATTCCTCTGTACCTTGTAAATTCACTGCCATATCCTCCTACCCTTTAAACCTCATACTACTCATATTGCTCATGTCTATAGGCGACGGTTACCACTTTCCATTAGGTGGGCCGTCAGCTTGTCTGCCATTCTAAGTTGTATAAAAAAAAAAAAACCGAACCACAGCCATGCAAACACAGCTGCTTCACGGTAGAAACATGAATGGGATAGAGGTGCCCAAGCAAACGACTTTTGTACAAAGTCTCCCTATGTATATAAATACTGCACAGTAACATTGTTCGTTTGTGGGGCGCCTTACGTTAAGCATGCTTTTAACTTATACATGTTGTGTTACATTATCTTGAATACGCCAATGTATCATCAAATATGTATTCCAGAACGTTTGCCTCGTGTTTTTTGCCCGTGTGGACTTATGTTTAAATTATGCTTGAGAGAAATTTTACCTTTACATTTTTATTCGGAATAATATAGTGTTCCCGTGGGATCGGCGGTGTAGGGGTTGCGACCTGTATCATGCTAAATAAAATAATGAGAGTAAGCGAATATTACAACCCACTCAATTTTACTTTTTGAACGTACAATATTAAATATACCTACTGTTACTATAGGATAATCTTCTATTAAGAGCGTTCATACCGTAGCTTAATAAAGTGTTTTTTTTTTTATGGATAATAATAGAATGGTAACCCCGTCTGTGTTATCGGTATACGCTAACGGAGCACCAGTTACAGTTGATATGTGAGGATAAAAGCAGGTCAGCTTATCGTGACGAAATCCACAAGAATTAACCACGATGGTTTCCAAGAGGAATCGCGTAGATATCGAACTGATAAAGTATATTGCTAGCAATGGGGCTGTTGGACCCCATTATTAATAATTCCTTTCTCCTCTAATGAAATAGAGTAATGTTGCAATTATCTGCCAATTAAAAAAAAAAGCAATTCAATAATTTCCAATGTCTCTGAATGAATATTTAAATAGTGCTTTACTAGCTAATTGAAACGTTAATTATAGGATATGTTACATTTTATTTTACTGAACAAGAGATCCGCTATTGATCACCTGATGGAAAATGATGATGTGGTCTAAATGGTGCTCGCGGGCCCATGAAATAGCCTTAGATCTAACACTTCTAACTTTGCAACTATTCGTATTTTGCTTTAGAATTTTTCAAATACACTTTGGCTATTAAAATCTAAATGTTTTTCATTTGGATTCTAAGATTGTTAGATATATTGTATACCTAAATAACCAGACTGACTTTAAATCATTTTTATATTATTAATATGATATAAAATTTCGTTCATTTATTCGATATAAATCGAAATTATTGCATGACAAATCTGTTTAAAAATAAGCAATTATTAGTAAAAGTTATTATGTATGTAACATCAAATTGACATTAATGCATGTGTATTAGCTATCTATCTATTAAATTTTGATATACCCAAACAGTGTGCATGTGCTTACTCTTCATAATAACATTGTAAAAGCTCTATATTATATACACGAATGAATTATAATAAATAAATAAATAAATATTTTTTTAGCAATAGTTTAATAAGTATATTACTGTATGGTTTAGTTCGTGAGAGTACATTTTAAATTGTCAAACAGAAACATTGAAAAAATATTAATTTGTTTTTGAATTTGATAGATAATTGTGACTTTGTCACACTTTGTAGACCCCAAGTTATGAACGCTCTTAAGCTACTACACAAAGTAATGAGTTGGTTGCTAAGAATTCGGTTTCATCGACCATGCCTATATAAATTTGCTTAGTACAGTCTAGGTTTTTCTCGCGGCTGTGCGTATGAATCAGTATATAAAGTATACTATGATGATATGGTCTATTCGTGTTCTAAATATCTTTGAAAAGCGTTCAGCCGTTTCAGTGTAATTGAGTAACATTCAATCAAACAATCTTTACAAACTTTCATATTTATAATATTAGTAGGAGTACCGTGTCTAGATTCCAGAAATTATTATATACACAGCATTCCCGTGGGAAATATAGCCTATATTACTCTCCCGTGGGAATAATGGTCTATATAACTCGATATATAGTTTTTTTATTAATGAAATATTTTTTAGAATCGATTCAGTAATTCCAGTGGGAAATTTGGTTAGATGTGACAATCAGTTACTGGGTACAATGGAATAAGACCTCGGATCTCAGGATAGCAATATACGAGGGTATCACAGTGTATTCTGTGATGTCCATAGTCTTGGTTATGTACAGACATTCGAAATGGAAAGCGCTTTCCATTAAACGGACCATCAGTTTTTTAACCATTCCAAAGCATTAAAAAATATAGACATAGATACCGTATATAAACAAACAAACATAAATATATCTATATTCCTTAGTATTAAACCATCATAAACATCGTAGTGATAAATAGTTAGCGCGAACCGATAACGCACAGCTTTTTATCGCGTATACCATAGGCGATACTTTAAAAAAATATATGTCAGTCCGTAGAAAAATTATGATTAATATAGCTTTTAGAAACGAGTTTTATTTTTAGCGAATTGTGAATTTTTTCTTGTATGTATTTAGTGTATTCATGACATTTATAAGAACACATACGGGATATTCAAGTTAAAACAATTTTTGAAAGTGTTTGACCCTCCCCTCTAGGTGGGGAAAAGGGATTGTTAGTAATGGAGACTGAGAATCCCATTGCTAGTAATATACCCAACCAGGTCGACCTCCTCGCGGTTCTCCCTGGAAACTATCATGGTTAATTCTTGACGAATTCATCATGATGGGCTAATTGGCCTGTCTTCATTCTCATCTATCACCCTTCACTGGTGCCCCGCCAGCGTATCTTGTTAGCGCAGGCGGAGTCACCATACCATTTTCACCCATCAAAAAAAAAACTCTCCTCCCTATAGATACATACCTATCCGATGTGTACATTAAATTCAATCGGATTCTTTATTTCGATATTATAATAATGAATAATCGATATTTCAGGGGAAAAAAGGATTATTATAATTTATTATAGCCAGCAATATACTTCGGTCTACCTCCACGCGGTTCTTCCTAAAAATTATCTTGATCGATTCTTTTATTTTTTTTTATAATAGGCTAGCTGACCTTCTTTAATCTTTACCCATCACCTTTCACTAGTACCTTACTAGTATATATTGATAGCGCAGGAGGGATTCCATTTTCACTCAAAAAAAGTTATATTTATATTGGATAAAAATATAGATATTGTTGACTATATCTGATATACATATATCGCCTTCCCCTATTATTAAGTATATATAAATATGTAACTAAAATGTAAATGTTTCTTTCCAGACATCGTCATACCATCACTCCTAATAGCGGCGCTGTTCATCGGTAACGCGTTCATCGTACTTATCATATATAAGTACAGGAAACGGTAAGTTTTTTCTTTATATATTTATTTATTTATTCATAATTTGCACACATTAAAATATATCTACAGGGCGGACTTAATGCCTGATGGCATTCTCTACCAGTAAACTGTTACGTTAAACAGAGAGAGTAAAAGGCGGTGCATAAATCAATAATATATATATATATATATATATATATATATATATATATATATATATATATATATATATATATATATATATATATATATATATATATATATATATATATATATATATATATATATATATATATATATATATATATAGTGAGAGATCGTCCTACACTGCGTTTGCCCGTATGAATACGCTACTCAAGAACCTTTCCCATCGGTTGTCAGTTCTTGGAGCTATCACTTCACTTTGTTCAGTTTTAAGACTAAAAAACAACTTTAAAACTAAGACCGCCTTACTGTACTTATACAATTTTATGGTTATATTTGTAAATTGTCTTGCTAATTTCCTATTTTTTTATGTGTGAAAATGGCATGGTTACCGCGCCTGCACTATCGGTATACAATAGCGGGGTACCAGTGAGCGGTGATAAGTGATGATGAAAAGGCAGGTCAGTTAGCCCATTGTGACGAATTCAATGATAAATTGGTCACGATAGTTTCTTGATAGCAATGGGGACTAAACTCCCCATTACTAACAATCCTTTCCCCCAATTTCCTATATTGTATAATGCAAATAAAGTATACTCATTCAAGTATACTCAAAGGAAAGAGACAGTTTAATTGTTAAAATTGATTTATGAGAGGTTTCAAGTTTTTATGAAAAAGGGGGTTAAAATATGGGTCAACCATTATATCCTCTGCATAATTATAATTGCGGGTTTCCTATAATTATTGCGTTAAAAAATACTTACCAGTAACTTAGGAATATGAATTGTAAGTACATTTTTTTATTATAAGTGTAACACCAAGGTTTTCCCAAGAGACTACAGCATGGGGTTCTTCGAAAGGGGGTAAAGAGCTTTCTTCAGGGTCGGCAACGCGCACGTAATACGTCTGGTATTGCAGGTGTTCATAGGCTACGTCAACCACCTACCATCAGGTGGGCCGTATGCTTCTTTGCCACCTAATGATTTCTAAATCCTATTTTACGTTGTCCTGTATATTTTTTGATAGTAATTGCCATTTGCTTGCAGCCGAACGAAAGTTTTATTGCGTGTTTTTTTTTTTGTATTTTGCTTATGAAAATTTTCATTGCGAAAAGAAAAACTCCCAGGCCAACGCTAATTGGTTCGTTAATTTTTAAATTATTTAATGGCATAATTAAGTTTCAAACAAAATATACAGAGTTAATATCGTAATATCTTTTAAGTTCGTAAAAAAATCTGTGAAAAAAACTGTAAAACTCTCCTCCATTTAATTTATATGGATAATTAGCAGTTAATTTTCTATAATACTGGCTGTATCCCGCGAGTTTATACGTGATTTTACGAGTATATAGTCTAAAACCTTCAAGAAATTAGATCAACGCAAACAAACAAACTCATCCGCTATCTACTACCATATCAGCCTTTAACTGTCCACTGCTGAACATAAGTCTCTCCTTGAGGGGTTATCCCAGTAGTTGCCACGCTTGGCAGTCGGATTGGCAACCACAGTCTCGCTTTAGAGATATAATAAGAGGAACGCTGCTGCCCATCCCTCGCTTTCGTTAGTTGGCTCTTACGACACACGGAATAGGAAGGGGTAGCTTATTCTATGCCGGGACCACACGGCCACGGCCATCTTCCTATATTATTTATTTAAACTTCAATATACAATGAAATTTTGTGCAATTAATACCGGTCGATTTTTTTTTATACAACTTAGAATGGCAAACAAGCTGACGGCCCACTTGATGGAAAGTGGTAACCGTCGCCTATAGACATGAGCAGTATCATGGACATAACAGTACACACACATACTGTTTCGCCCATTTCTGTTTCCATTCCTGAGGACGGATGTTATTCCTCTGTACCCTGTAAATTCACGCCATATCCCACCCTTCAAACCGAAACACACCCATGCAAACACAACTGCTTTACGGTTAAAACACGAATGGGACAGAGGTACCCAAGCAATCGACTTTTGTACAGTCTCCCTCTGGTGTGCGATGTTCTCTACTAGTCAACCATTGTGCAAACCTAGAAATAAGAATAATAATATAATTTAGTATAGATTGATCGTCAATTTATTTTCCATTTTAAATTGCATAAAAAATAATAAAACTTACCTTATGGGCATTTTTACAATTTACCAGTCCGTAAAATGGTACAATTTCGTTTTATCGTCACGATAAAATAGGAGAGCAAAATGTATGCATTTATATGAGATGCTTAAATTTCCATGCATGAGTATAGGTAGCGTAATAAATCGTTAAGAGACGGGAGCAAAGTATAGGAAGATCTAAATAAAACTGTATATCAATATAATATGGTTGATGGATAATATGGTGGGCGTAATGATGGGTAGCTCTTTCGTCATACTCGTGAACGGGTGCTGCCTGTCGGCACAATAACGGCACATTAAGGGCGGCAAAATAACAATAAATGATTATTCGAATGCTTAAAATTATTAAATCTAAGCATTGTTGAATAAAAATATTTGTTTATTTATTTCCAAACTCTAGCTTGTATGCGATTAAAAGTGTTTTTTATGCAACTTAGAATGGCAAACAAGCTGACGGCTCACCTGATGGAAAGTAGTAGCCGTCGCCTATAGCCTGTATACTCCTGATATGAGCGTGTTTATGCCCAGCAGTGGGACACTATTGGGGATATATTCGCAATATACCCTATCAAGTTAACTTCCCCGCGGCTCTCCTGGTAACAATCGTGGTTAATTCTTGTGGAATTTGTCAGGATGAGTCAACTGACCTGTTTTCATCATCACCTATCCTCACTTGTGCCCCATCACCGTATACCAATAACGCAAGCGGAGTTACCATTCCATGATCTTCCATTATCATTTCACTATAATCCATTTAAAAAAAAATACCTGTATGTACCAAAAAAAAATTAATAATATTTTCTTCTTAGAAACACTGTTAAAAAGTTTTTATTTAAAATCACAAGGATTTACACCGACTTATCCTGCTTTAGTCATTTTGCTGATGGAGTTGTTGTATTAGGAACAGGGGTAACTGGGTAACAGGAAGTATTTATGTTAATACCTAAATATCCTCGCTTCTGTGGCAAACGGTTAAAGATGTTTATAAACTACTTTGCTTCCTGTGACTTCGTCCGCATGACGGAGATGTTAATTGATCGGGATGTGGGTGCCTGTGCCCACTTCCATTCTAAATAGTACATGTAAACCAATTAATTTATATGGATGGGTAAAGTCGTTAAAGAGATAAATTACAATTAGGTACCTTAATGACCTTAAACAAACTAATTGTACTTTTATTAGTAAGTACCAGCTGACCCGGGAAACGCCATCTATCGCCATCTACTTGCCCCATTTTTCTTTTCGGAATAAAATATGTATTCATCGACATCAGCGTTTAACTGTCCACTGCTGAACATAAGCCTCCCTTTTTTAAAACCCTCCGTTTTGCCAGTAGTTGCCACGCTTGACAGGCGGATTGGCAACCGCAGTTAGGCTATGGAGATGTTATAGGAGGAACGCTGCTGTCCGTTTTTTGCCCTCCCTTAGCAGCCTTTTACAAAATTAATAAAATATGTCTTAATCTAAATAAATAAAAATATGAACTGCTAATTTTTACTCGCGGACCAATAGTAGATTATTGTCTTTCTCCATCCTATATTGGAAGTGTATACGAAATTTCATAGTGATTGGTTAAGCCGTCTTAGCGTGAAGAGGTAACAAATAAATAAACGTATTGGTAAACGATTACCGTCGCCTGTGAACGCCTGCAATACCTGGGATATTACGCGCACGTTGCCGACCCTGAAGAAATCTCTTTACCCCCTTTTGAAGAACCCCATGCTGTAGTTTTTTGGGAAAGCCTCGGCAGGGAGCTCGTTCCATAACATGAGTGTTCGTGGGAGAAAACATCTCTGAAACCGCGCTGTACGCGACCATTTAGTAATATTAGTAAAAATTATTTTTAAATAGTTAAGAATAAGCTCCCAAGGAGGAGGCCTATGTCCAGCAGTGGACAATTAAAGACTGATGTGAAGCAAGCTGAAGTAGCAATAGATAGCTTACATAGCTCGAAGAATCAACAACCAATGGGGAAGAAAATTTCTTGAGTGACAATCCGTACTTGCAAATACGATGTAGGACGATCCCACAAACATGACGGAGCGACGACCTCAAATGCATTACAGGGAGTCAGTGGCTGCAGGTGGCTCGAGACTGATATGTCAGCCTATGGGAGAAGCCTATGTTCAGGAGTGGACAGTTACCTATTAATATGATGATGATGATTTTTAAATAGTAAAAAATAATAAAGAATAGAAGAGGCAAAATGCTGGGCCACCTTATATGACATGACGATTTTTTTAAGAGCATAATAGAAGGAAAGATAGAGGGCAAAAAAGGAAGAGGACGACCGAGGATTAACTACATGGGACAGATAAAGGAAACATTAGGCGTCATGTCGTATAGGGAGATAAAAGATATGGCCTGGGATAGATCTGGCTGGAGGAAGATGCATGAATTAGTTACACCGACAAGAGGAAACTCCTAAATGAAAAGAAAAGAACTCTAATCGTAATGAGCTTAGATAAGTCACTTTATTTATCTAAGCTTAAAACTTTGTTTTTTTTATACCACGAAGGTGGTAATCAAGCATACAACCCATCTGATACTAAGCGACTACTGTAGCCTATGGACGTTGTTTCAGTTAAAGTAGTAATTATATATTTTCTCTTTCCATGGCTCCTTTTATGGGGTCAGGTCTGGTAAAGAGATAATTCTTTAATATCTTCATATCTCAGGATGCACGTTAAGCCGTTTACGTCGGTCTGTAAGCTTACAAAGGGCTCTGAACCCCATGGGTTATGAATATCACATCTAAATCG